GTGCACATTAATCACAAATTTGTAACCATTTTATGGAAGTGATGTATAAAACAAACGGTGCGAACAAACGCAGTTCGATTAAACGCTGTGTGTAATTTGTCTGATTTGAAAGGCAAACAGAGAGAATAAGGCATGATGGGACAACCAGAGGCATGGCTTGAATACCTACCGAGTCAAGTCATTGCCACCTGTGCGATATTTCAAGTGACTTCATTCAATGCGTTAACAGCCTAAATTTGTTTGCTTTGGCAACAAATTATCTGGTCCAAAATTAAATCGGGTAGAATTGAGTTCGAGTGAGACCAAACACAAGGTTTCCTATCCTCCAAATAGAGTACGCCTCCCCAAATATTGAGACAACCCAGCCACTTAAACCTACAAATCAAATTCTTCTTTTGTTCCAAACAGCAGTAGAGAATGTTGCTACGCTGTTGTTGTTAATCGCACACCAGTGACGGTTTTTTCTTGCTGGCAGCACCATAGCGGTGCCAAAACTTTACCAACAAAGATAAAAAGAAAGGTTAAGTTTTCGCATATTTATTTTATTCAACCGTAAAACGTTAAAGGCATTTTTGCTACGATGATACATCTCATTGAATTTCGACTCTCGCGGACGTCGCAATGAGGTCGCGGAGTCAGACGCCATCAGCATTCGAGCAGTTAGGTTAACTGAGTCATCGGAAACTTAGTTAAGCTAAAATGTAACGTAAAGGGAAAAATATGGAACGCCTGGCTAAAGTTTCACTGGCTTAACNTATTTATTTTATTCAACCGTAAAACGTTAAAGGCATTTTTGCTACGATGATACATCTCATTGAATTTCGACTCTCGCGGACGTCGCAATGAGGTCGCGGAGTCAGACGCCATCAGCATTCGAGCAGTTAGGTTAACTGAGTCATCGGAAACTTAGTTAAGCTAAAATGTAACGTAAAGGGAAAAATATGGAACGCCTGGCTAAAGTTTCACTGGCTTAACAACTGACCTAAAAGTGCAATGCACATACAACGAAGCTTTTTGAACTCAATCTCCTCGGGTTTAGATAGGTCCTCAAGGTCAGATATTTTTAAGCTCCTCTCATTATAGAAAGACCCACGTAAAGCAGAAGTTTGACCGCACTAGAAACCTGCGAGATGGAATGGGAGGCCGAGGACAAGTTGAGCAGTAAGAACAAAGGTAAAATTTCACCTTCTATTGATCATTTTGTCAACATGCATGTGGAATGTAAAAAACCGACTGAACCGCACACTGTTATCGTTTTCAAAAGCTTCACTGATTTCAGTGGAACCTTTCATGCACTTTATTTTAATCTACTACTAAAATTTTAAAGAACTGCGTTATATCAAAGTGTTGACTCTTCTTCACTGAGCATCTAACATTCTTCGGACTGTATACTTCAAAGTAAAAGTATCATTGTGAAAAAGTAATCTTCAACGACCCGCTTCATTGATTTTCCTTTGATTTTTTCACAAGTAAAGTATAGTTAACCAAACTGTCTCCCCATCCCTTGCATTTATCTTGACAAGCATGCATAAAACTAAATCAGGGGGATACGGATGGAGAATTTATTTTGCACATTTTTATATTCCACTTGACGTGAAAACTATCTAAACTGAGGATTAGTTCGTTACCGGCGCCTGTTTCCTCATTAGTTGCTGTCCATTTTTCCATCCTACTGGATTTCAGTCACTGGAAGAATCAAGTCACACTTATCGAATCTGTTACAGATTGTTGAGCCAATGGCTCTGAACGATAACCGTCTGCCTGTATGAGTTAGCAACACATCATTACTTCAAACACAAAGCTAATCGCGGAGTTTGCAAGTGACTTTTTTGGATAGGGCTTGCATTAACCAATCGAACTGAAGCACAGAGGACGGGATGGAAGTCGAGCATCCTGAATACAATAGCATCCCAGCTCTCACTGTATTGCCAGTCCGCCCAGTTGCTAGCTATGATAGGTAAATTCACTCAAACGTTTTTCCTCAAAATGAAATGGTGAGATGCGAGTGGATACTTGAGTCAGCGTGTCCAAGTGGAGTTTTCTCATTGGGTCCGTGTACCTGAAGCTTACTTGCGCACGCGGTGGTTTTGAGGAACATTACATCCACAGAACGGACAAACTGTAGATTGCGAAAGAGGCTTAGGGTTGATGGGTTCGTTTACGGTTGTCTTTCAATGATAAGCATAATGAACGAAAAGCCACCAGGAGAACTGGAACTCAAATCAGCTAATCGCGTTGAAAGTACTGGCTGATACTAGCGACATTGTACAAGCCAAAAAGGATACGACGGTACAACGAAGGGACATTGCTTTCAATATGTCATTTTGGAATGTGACGAACCTAATTGACTGGAATCTCAGGTGGTTTCGCTGAACACAAAAGTACCTGTTGGGTTGCTGAAATCATCTAGGCAGACCTATTTATGAGTAGTATTGTCAGGAGGGAAAAGTTGATGTCCCAATAAAGTTTCAATGGGGTATAAAATGGCCCTTGCCTTGTAGGTTAAGTTGGAGAATAGCGCCCCAAGTCAACTCACTGTATTTTCACTTACAATATCATCATGCATCTTATAAAAGACAAATCGGTGCATTAGTTTTCTGGCGTGGTTTACTTCCGAGAATAATGACATTGTGTCTTGTGGCGTCCGCTAAGCAAATCTTACGTACTTTTCTTTGCTTGGTTATGGCTGAATCATGTCGGGATATAAGAAGGCTATGCAAATATTATGTATAGGTTCTTTCAGTTATTCGCTCCATGTCTGTATTTTCGCAGCTGACAATCCATTCCGATTGTTTTATATTGCAGAAGACTGGAGATCAAAAATATCGCCTGTGGAGTGGCAACCAGGAAACAGGGCAGGCACTGGTGTCGAACCGAATCCACTTCTACGGATTCATCATTCGGTCTTTGGAGTATGCCGCCAAACTACTGATAAATGCATGCAGTCACGCCATAATAATGCTGCTGGAGTATCTCCACGAAGACCCTATAGAGCTAGGCTTTTCAGGCAGGTAGATTTGTCATAAAGGCTCGAAAATCCTGTGCTTGCTAGCCATCTGGCATCGTTGTGGCTAGTTCCTGCATACCTGATGGTATCAGGTAGAGAGAAAGTCTGCAGAACTGAACTTTGGTTCTGTGGCTAAACTTGAATGCATCCCATAGGCGAATGGGAAACTCGTTTCCGTCTAAATCAATTTTGATGTGGCATGGTTAAAATCAAATTTTTAAATTTCATATGTTAACGTGAGACTATCTTTATAGAACGTTCAGTGATATCGCGATGGAGGCCAATTTTGACTTATATTTTTATGGCCAGAATCTCATGTAAAAGGCATTACCTTGCATTCGACATAACGGTCCTGTTATAATTCACAGACAGACAGGAAATGCTGGTTGGCTTATTCCATAAAGTTCAATATTATCTCAAAATGGACGTCAACCACAGGGGTATCTGAAATTTGCATGCCCGTTGAGTCAGTGATTTAACGGGGGAACTAACGTACACAAGAGACATTTCTAGCATTTTACGGGTAAGTCAGCAATCAACTTTCTGGGACGTTATGAATGGGAACAGTTCGAGCGCAGCTATCAGTCGACAGGCCGTTGCTGTTACCGAAACACTTGGATGTGAAAGTGACGAATAAGTGTATGAAGCAAGTGAAACTGGTTTTGGAGTTCGAGGCGGACTTAAAGTCCGACGGATGCAGCCCGTTTTCGATGCCTCAAAGTTGAGATGCAACGGACCGCGTTTGGTCATTGCGTCGACAACTGCAATACCCCAGTTTTGCTGAAACGGAGTAGATGATTTAGGTAGAAATACCTTATTTTCGCCCACAGAGTGGAATAGCTAGTGAACTGGCTTGAAGAAGTACATTTTTTAAATATCTTCTCGGTTATTGTAAACTATATTCCTACTGTGTTCATTAGTTCACATTTCAGTCATTCACCGAATCAGCTAGCAGTCGGCATATCACTACCATTGCCTTCATGAGGGTAAAGGGAGCGCAAGTTGATAAGCTACAAAGCTACTAAGTAATGACTACTTATACTACGCAGAAATGTAAAAGATGAACAATTAAGAGCAAAACGACTACTAATAGGTTGATAAATCAGTAAACACTTGGTCACGCCTCTGTTTGCTTCACTGCGTTAGGTACCTGGTGGGAATTAGAACGCATGACTGTATGATTGTGAGAGAGTACAACCACAAGTCCGGTTGTCCGTCAGGTGTGCAACATAGTAAACGTTAATCTGTCCACACAGCATGTGAACTGGCTACTGTCCACTAAAAAATCCAACTTACGGGGTGAAAAATATCGTCCCAAATATGGAAGGCGTCCGGTGTAGCAGTTCAATCGGTGCCAAAACCAATAGGGCAAAAATCATCAGTTTAACGACGGACCGAGACGATTTTGTTCTGTCAATATCTAATCCGCCAGTATCGCCTTTTCTCATCAAGACGTGGAAGAACAGCGTCATTGTGATAGATAGATACGTGAACCAAAATGATATGAGTGGTACAAAGTAGTAAAACATGTACTTCTGGTTCATCGTGAAGCAGAGGAGAACAGCGAACAGGTTCATCCGGTACATCACCTGCAATGGAATGTAGAAGGACAGGGTGTCACGTAGCATTTGGATGTACAACTGTTCCGGTAGACAAAGACTGATCTCTCTGATGATGAAACAAGTAAATGAGAGCGTGTCAGATGTAGAGTCCCGATTTGTCCAAATACGTACCCTCTCATGCTGAGCCATTAGTACAACAAAATTCAAGCTGGACTTATCACACTGTGACGAACAGACGTTAAAAAGAGGATAGTGTGAATAGTAATCTCACGAGTCTCATTCCCAGTTACAAGCAACAGTGCCTGAAATACCGATCTGCTTCCTTGAAGATACATCCACATCATATTCCGCAACATTCCTTCAAGTTGCAGAAGTAACTCTCATTCTCGAATGAAAGGCGACATTTCTTTCAGCGTTCACTGGCATTTCAGTAGATTTGGTGTAGTTTGCTTCACCCAACTGGGTCATCTTGGCCCTTGTTGTACACTACTAAATCATTTATCCAATTAAGTGAAAACAAAGAATCCATTCAAATGACCACATGAGTTGGGTTCCGTTTTATGTAACTCATAAATGAACCCCATTTTCACAACCATCCTCAAACTTATCCACCCTGTCGTGATCGCAAGCAATAGCTGAAGTTAGATACCACTGCCACACTGCCACTCACCCGTGTCATTTTACCTGAAGAAACCCTGACGTGTAAAGCATGGTTAAACAAGAGGGACAAGAACCTTGTTCTAATGTGCCAGGAGCATTGAGGTTTCTGCATCACACACAGTCCAAACAAATACTGGCAACACGTCAGTACTATCTGTTGACAATATTCATCAGTAGCCACACTTCGCAAAACCCCCAGCCAATAGAAGCAACACATTTGAAAGCGTATTTAACTCCTCTCTGCCAAGTCATGCTGTCCGTATGTTGATTTGTAAAACACATTTAAATGCTTTCTTAGTTATTAATGTTGGATACAGAGCTGGTGGTTTGGACCTAACACAACGTTGCGTGGTTCCCCGGTCATCAGAGTATTGTAGAAAATCCGGCGACATTTAGTTACTAAATTTTACCCCTTGAATAAAACACCTGATCCAGCTCTAGAGGTATTCGAGTTGTTCTGCAATAATAAGCTTACAAAAACGTCACACACAAATCCTTGTTCTGCAATCATGTTAAGGAGATCGAGAAAATTGCATTCAGTTATCAGGAGGGTTATGTTCCGCCATGGAAACCTAAATAGTAGGATAACGGTCAGCAAGTTTTTTCCGCAGAAAGTCCCAAATTATCAGGCTTTTGTGGGAAAGTCTTTCGAAGCTTGCAAATAACGAGTCTTATATATGAAGTACGGAACATGATCAGTCCAACTATTCTTGCGGCACCAAAACTATTTGTTGCAGTATATCATTCTTACTTTTCCACATGCAAAGTCTGAACCGATACAATTAGGCATTCTCCATTTGCATCCTCACAGTTCCCCCAGATATTATAGTGAATTATTATGAGATACTGAACAACCTCTTACTTCATTCTTCTTGAGTCACTGTAGCACAACCGTTAGCTCCGCGGAGGTAATATTGTCGACTCCCCTTGTGAGCAACGCTGGTCAGCGGTAATTTTCTATTTGTTCTGACTACTTGTGAGTAGTATGGTTGCAATGCCGTTTTACTTCCTTGGTGTTCAGTTGCTCGGGGTTTTGCTCCGTCTTAGGGTCTGCTCACACCCTAGTTACTAAAGTCAAGTTCTACCTACTTTCGAGTGACTACTCCGCCCGACCATAGATCGGACTCTGAACCCCTGGGATAGGAGACGAACGAGCTATCCCAATACGTTCTCTGGTCGTCCTATATTAGTACTACGTTTGTATTGCATCTTACCCGGTGATCTATTTTAATTTGTTTTAATTGGGCCTACCCGTTTACTCCGATTCGACGCGTGACACGGGCTACTGACTCGAATCCTCAGCTGAAAGTTTTAGATATATTTAATTTCTACCAAATTCATCCGATACCCGCTCCAGACAGCTTCCCTTACGTTCCGAACGTATTGACTGTTTTTTGCGCCGTTGTCCCTGTATACGGTCGCACTACCGGTATCCCTACGTTTGTATATCAGTTTGCATTCACCTGTTGTTGTTTCCAGAAAGCACCTGCCAAATGCGCTGTTTTGATAGTATTTTCTACCTAATTAATAACGTTCATCAACCCATATGTTCATAGAAGCAGTTCTCGGTACGGCATATACTGCCCTCATCCTACTGCTCACTGAACAGCAACTGCGTGTAGTCAGTTCCAAGCGTCCTGTAAGATCCTTAGCTGCCAGATCTTACAAATGAGGCTGTTTTGTCATCAGCTGTATATTGAGGACATCCAAATTCTTCCTCAAACTTGTAAATATGAGAGTT